TGCAACAAATTATAGAACCCAGCAGGGAAGTAGAGTGCTGGGAGAGGGACAGGTGCTGTCAGAATTGATGAAGGTTGAAACCTGGAAATATGTGTGACTTCTGTCTCAGGAACTGGCTTTAGGCTGATGTGGAGCTTGATCTTCCTTCTCCCTTCTAAAGTCAGAGGAGGTCAATTGCTGCCTCACACCACTGTTGTAAGAATAAATCACATAGCATAGACTAGAAAATATAGGCTAGTAAGGTTCGCATCAGGATTGCATCCTCTCTCCACACTTATTCATACTTATTTGTGGAGCAAGTAATCTGAGAAGCAGGACTATATGAAGAAGAACGTAGTATCAGGGTTGGAGGAAGGCTCCTTAACAACATGCAAAATGTGACACAATCTTGCTTGCTGAAAAGAAGAACATTTAAAATGCTTACTGATGAAGATAAAAGACTAAAGTCTTTAGTGTGTATTTAACCTCAACATAAAGAACACAAAAATCCACAAAACTGGACCAACAAGCAACATCATGATAATGGAATAAAAAGTAAGCTTGTCCCTGAATTCATTTTACTTGCTTGGATCCACAATCAACGCCCATGAAAGCAGCAGTCAAGAAATCAAAATGAGCTTCGGTTGCTCCTGAGGCTGCTAGTGTGCTTGTTCTTGTGGACCTAGTACCTCTTTGTGAAGTGGCAGCTGAAGAGACTCCAGCACTCACAGTGACCAATGAGAAACCCACAAAAGGAGTCAAGACTGAGAACCGTGATCATATTAATTTAAAAGTGGCAGAGAAGGATACTTCTGTAGTACAGTTTAAGATTTAAGAGGCATGTAACACTTAGTAAACTAATGCAAGCCTGTTGTCAAGACAGAGGTGATCTGTCAGAGTTTGTCAATGAGGCAGATCACCTTCCAACTGAATAGACAGTCAGTGAAACATATACACCTATACAGTTAGAACTGGAGGATGAAGATGCAATTGATGTGTTCTAGCAGCAAGCAGGAAGTGTCTTCTAAAAGGAAGTCTACTACTTTACCATAGGTTGTACTTCAGTGTTAACAAATCAAAAACCCTCATTACTGGATAAATAAACAACTTTATGATAAATGGAAAAATAATGAAGTTGTTAAAGACTTCATTTTGCTTGGATTAACCATGAACAGTTATGGAAGCAGCAGTTAGGAAATCAAATGACACATTGCACTAGGCAAAACTGTTGAACAAGACCTTTGTAACGCTCTGAAGAGCAAAGATGTCAGCTTGAGGACTAAGATGCCCCTGACCCAAACCATGGTATTTTTAGCAGCCTCATATGCTTGTGAAAGTTGGACAATGAATAAGGAAGACTGTAGAAGAATTGATGCATTTGCTGTATGGTGCTGGAGAAGAATATTAAGTGTACCATGGATTGTCAGAAGAACAAGTAAATCTATGTTGGAAGAAGTACAGCCAGAATGCTCTTTATAAGCCAGATGATAAGACTTTGTCTCTCATACTTTGAATATATTATATTAACTGATGTCCCTGAAGAAGAACATCATGTTTGGTAAAGTATAGGATCAACAATAAAAGGAAGATCCCCAATGAGATGGATTGGCACAATGGCAGCATCAATGGACTCATGTGTCAAGATGATTATGAGGTTGGTGCAGGACCAGGCAGTGTTTCATTCTGTTGTGCATAAGGTCGCCATGAGTTGGAACCGACTCATGGCACCTAACAACAACAACAACAACAACTACTACTTTACCCTAGATCTCTGTTCCTACTGACCAGGAATATGTTTTCGATTTGGTTCCATCACACCCCGATAACTGCAATACAGTTTTCTCTATTCTTTCGTTTTACCCTTTCCCATTCCTTTATTGTGTATAAAGTAAGCTCTAGCATATTGACTTGTTTTTTCTTTTTTACTAAGTGGCCAGTCGTATGTTTTTTATCAACATCAAGTGGAAGTGATATGGGGAAAAATACTAGTTCTGTGAAAATCCCCCTCTTTTTCATCAGTGTCACGCTCATTCAGCTCTTAACTTTATGTTCCAGTAAGTTGTTTTGCTCTCGCTGTTTAACAACAACAACAAATCACAACATAAAAACTGCCTTCATACCTTGTTAAGTTAAAGAATCTTAATGTTTTTCATGTATTATTGTAAAACCAAGGACAATTTTATAATCTTTTTTGATGAAGCAAATCTGTCTTTGCTGTTGTTGCTATTAAGTGCTGTTGAGTCCCTTCCGACTTATAGCAACCCTGTGTGATTTCTGAGGAGCACTGGTTGGTTTGAACTGCCAAGCTTGTGGTTAATAGTTCAGTGCTTACCCTACAGTGCAACACCAGGACACAGGAGTAAATTACTCCAAAAGTAATGGCTCCTACATAGCCTTCCCTTCAAGCTAAGCATCTTGTTTAAATACATTTCTTGTTTTTAAAGAAATCAAATAATATATTGATTGGGCAAATCTGTTACAAAAGACTTATTTAAAGTATTCAAAAGCAAAAATGTCACTTCGAGGACTGAGGTACACCTGATATTTTCAATCAACTCATATGCATGTGAAAGATGGATAGTGAATAAGGAAGACCAAAGAATTGATGTATTTGAATTGTGGTGTTGGCAAAAAATATTGAATATGCCATGGGCTGCCAGAACAAACAAATCTGTCTCGGAAGAAGTATAGTCAGAGTGCTCCTTAGAATCAAGGATAGTGACACTTCCTCACGTGTACTTCAGACATGTACCAGGAGGGACCAGTGCTTGGAGAAAGTCATCGTGCCTGTTAAGGTAGTGGGTTATCAAGAAAAGAGGGACACCTTCAATGAGATATATTGGCACAGTGGCTACCACAATAGGCTCAAACATGGCAATGATTGTGAGGATGGCACCAGACTGGGCAGTGTTTTGTTCTGTTTTACATAGGGTCACTGTGAGTCAGAACCATCTTAAGGGCACCTAACAACAACATCCTCACCACTGGACCAATAAATAACATTCTTATCAATCGAGAAATGATTGAAGTTGTCAAAGATGTAATTTTTCTTGGGTCAACCATCAACACACATGGAAGCAGCAGTTAAGAAATCAGACAATGTATTGCATTAGGCAAATCTGCTGCACAATACCTTTTTAAAGTGTTGAAGAGCAAAGATGTCAGTGTGAGGACTAAGGTGAGTCTGACCCAAGCCATGGTATTTTCAATAACCTCATATGCATGCGAAAGCTGCACAGTGAATAAGGAAGATCGTAGAAGAATTGATGCATTTGAGCTATGTTATTGGAGGAGAATATTGGAAGTACCTTGGGCTGCCAAAAGAACAAACAGATCTGTGTTGGAAGAAGTACAGCCAGAGTTCTCCTTGGAGGCCAGATGGCCAAACTTTGTCTCTCATACTTTGGATATATTTTTGCTGCAAAAAGATATCATGTTTGGTAAGGTGGAGGGTCAGAGAAAAAGACGAAGACCCCCAGCGAGATGGATTGACAAGGTGGCAGCATCAATGGGCTCAAGTGTGGCAACAGTAGTGAGGTTGGCCCAGGATCAGACAGTGCTTCATTCTGTTGTGCATAGGGTCGCTGTGAGTCGGTACCGACTTGATGGCACCAAACAACAACAACATAGAATAGAAATGGAATGGAAAACCAGAGAAGTTACATTTTGTGAAAAAAAGTAGAGCCAGAGCTAGGCCTTATAGAGTGAACAGAGTTTGGAAAATCAGTTAGGACAAAATTATATGTTACACAATATGGCAGGAGGCTTGGGCACAGCTATGCCTGATACTTGAAACTGGAGAGATTGGATAATTGTTGGGGAAATGTGGAAAGTAAAGTTGGCACTCACTTGACCTGGAATGTCAAAGGTTGTTTACACATGCTTCTATGGCACGCATTTCAATCCAGTGTTTCCTTTGCCAGTAGAAAAATAGGTGTTTTTGATGAACTCTTGTTCCACTTGGCACACACACTCAAACTGTGCATTGGTACATTTTCTGGTGATGCGTTTTCCATGCACCAAATCAAACTTTACAAATTCTCTGTCTCTCATCTGCTTAAGGCTTTAATTGCTTCAAGGTTATAACCTGTAACCGAAGACCCCTGCTGCCCCCCGCCTCCAACTCTAATTCTGGTTGGATCTTTTTGGAATTGAGAAATCATTTGTAAGAAATTCAAATGTGTGTTCTAGGCTTGAATAACATATGCTAATGTTATTCAATGTCAAGAAAACAAAAATCCTCACCACTGGACCAATAAACAACATTCTTATCAATGGAGAAAAGATTGAAGTTGTCAAGCACTTCATTCTTCTTGGATCAACTATCAACACTCACGGAAGCAGCAGTCAAGAGATCAGACGACTTATTGCATTGGGCAAATCTGCTGCTCAGGAACTTTTTATTGAAGAGCAGAGATGTCAGTTTGAGGACTAAGGTGCGCCTGACCCAAGCCATGGTATTTTCAATAACCTCATATGGATGCGAAAGCTGGACAGTGAAGAAGGAAGACCATAGAAGAACTGATGCCTTTGAGTTATGGTGTTGGAGGAGAATATTGAAAGTGTCATGGACTGCCAAAAGAACCAATAGATCTGTTTTGGAAGAAGTGCAGCCAGAGTGCTCCTTGGAGGCCAAGATGGCCAAACTTCGTTTCTCAAACTTTGGACATATTGTCAGGAGGGAACAGTCGCTGGAGAAGGTTATCGTGTTTGGTAAGATGGAGAGTCAGAGAAAAAGAGGAAGAAAAAAACGAGATGGATTGGCCAGGTGGCAGCATCGATGGACTCAAGTGTGGCAACAGTAGTGAGGTTGGCCCAGGATTGGACATTGTTTCGTTCTGCTATGCATAAGGTTGCTATGGGTTGATACTGACTAGATGGCACCTAACAACAACAACAATGTAGCTGATGATACAATTTTAGGCAAAGGTTAGAGGACCAGTTATTTTGGTTAGGAGATAGAAGAAGGCCTTACTGATTTTACTAAGATTCTTTTTTTCTCGTTTCATTTTTCCCCGAAGACGCTGATCCCAGTGAGCACTCATTCTGGAAACTCATCACTTTGCCCAAGGTTGCCCTTATAGCCTTTGTCATCAATTCACTCAGCGCGGGGTTTGGCTTCCTGGACCCTACTCTGTCTCTCTTTGTCTTAGAGAAGGTAAGTAGAGTGATGGCTTGCTCTCAGGCCCTGATTTCTGTGGAATGGCTCCCATTCTTCCTCCATGAAAAGGTCATTGTAGGTCTGTGTCATTGTAGGTCTTCTCAGTCACCATTTATGCTATTTCTTGAGGAGAGCCTCACCTCTATGTGTTTATATTCCAGTGAAGCAGTTCAATACTCTGCACCTCAGCTAATGTGATGCCCTTCAGTAGGGTGATGCCCTCTTGGTCAACTTACTTAAAAATATATTTTTTCTTAGACTTTTTATTGAGATTTGGCTGAAAAGGATATACTTTTTAAACAACTAGATAAGACCTGATGACTCTGAACTATTAAATTTGTCAAGGGCTGAAAATAAGTATTGATTTCTAGAAGTTTGATGCCATGGAAATACGTTCTTAGTATTTTTTGAAGAAGGATTATGATATGATAGAACTCATGCCAAAGTCTGGGTCTGATAATTTATGACAGTGCAGAGTTGATACGTAGCTAAAGGGTCATTAATGCACAAAGTGCAGCCCATACTGACTTTATTGGAGGCCCTGTGATTAAAATAACAGTTACCTACACTTACATTTCAATTAAGTTTCTAATATGATGATATCAAACAGTTTCTGCGCATTGCTTTATCATGTAATGTAAGAGTTAAAATGAATTCTTACAGTTCTACACTGCTCCTTATGTCCAGTTAAGCTTGGGAATTGTAATTTTAGTGCCTGGTCCAAGGTTTACAGAAAAAATATAATCAGTTTAACCTGTGGACATCCAGGAACATAATACTTAAGACAAATGTTGTGCCTACGTTCCCTTTATCAGCAAGGCATCTCTTTGAGAGTAATGTTCTTGGGCTCTTAGGAAGCTATATCTGACCAAGGTAAAGAATCTGCTAGCAATCTGTAGCAAACTCCAATTGCTCAGTTATAGCTTATGAGAAATCTTCAGAAATTTATTTTTCTCACTGTTTTTATACCAAATTGTTTGATCCTGTTGTCTTATCAGTTGTTTTAAATGGCAGTTTGCTGCATGATCATTGGTTGCCCATCCTTTTATAATAGGATGGGTTCATCCTGTCTCTCAAACTATGAAATCAGAAAAGTCCATTTCTGAATTTTGTATCTTGCTACTATTTTTAAAGGACTAATTTCTTACCACAACTTAATGCCGAACATAGCACAATTAAATTATATGTTATTGTTATTAAGTATAGTTGAGTCAGTTCCAACTCAAAGTGACCCTGTATGGGGTTTGCAAGGAGTAGCTGGTGAGCTTGAACCACCGAACTTGCAGTTCAAACCAACCTTGGAGTCCAGTGCATTAACCCATAGAGACACATCCGGACTCCACTACATTATATACTGATGCCTAAATTAATCTCATGGGTATAATTTGGACCCACAATTACTAAATAAAAGGATGGTGGTTTAAAGCCACTTAGTTCAAACTCACCCAAATGTATCTCAGAAGAAAGGAGCTGCTGATCTGTTCCAAGTAAGCACAGCTTTGACAAACCCACGGAGTGCAGTCGCCACGAGTCAGTGCTGGCTCAAAAGCAGCTAACAACAATAACAGGTGTAACTAAGAAAATTATTTAAAAAATGAAAACAACACAGATTGCAAAAAGAAGTATTTATACCATGTCGATCATAGTTGTTGTTAAGTGCCACTGAGTCAGTTCTAACTCATAGAGCTCCTGTGTAGGGTTTCTGAGGAGCAGCTGGTGGATTTGAACCACCAATCTTGTGGTTACCAGTCTAGTGTTTCTCCTAGAGCACCACACCAGGACTCTGCAACATGATCAAAGTTATGTGGTAGTTTTAAAAGGCCTTTAAAATTGATGTCATCTCCTTCTTTACATGGAGTCCTGGAGTGGTGCTGTGGATTAATGCGCTGGAATACAAACTTGAACCACAAAGTTGGCGGTTCAAGCTCACCAGTCACTCCTCAGAAATCCTATAGAGAGTTGCCATGGGGTGGAATCAACTCGATTGAATTTAACAACAACAACCAAGTAGTTTATGTGCTCACTAAAGATTGAAAAAGCAGCTCTGGTGGTGCAATGGTTAAGCGTTTGAGTGCTAACTAGAAAGATGGTCGGAACATGCCTGAGGGCTCCACAAGAGAAAAGACTGAAGTGCGCCTGTGATGATAGTTGTTGTTATTAAGTGCTGTCGAGTTGGTTCTGACCCATAGCTACCCTGTATACGGTTTACAAGGAGCGGCTGGTGAGCTTGAACTGCCAACCTTGAGGTTCAAACGACTTTGCAGTCCAGCACATTAACCCACAGCGCCTTTCCAGGATTCCTCCTGTAATGTTTATAGCGTAGGAAACTTTATGGGCAGCTCGGATCGCTCCTAAAGGTTCACTATAGAGTTGGATCCCATTTGAGAGCACACAACAAAAATGGTTGAAAAGCACTGGCTTCCACATAAAAGGTCAATAATCTAGAGACTCAAAATTGTGTTTTTAATATAAAATGTTGCAAAGCAAAACAGCAAGGGCTTCAGACCTATGGTTAGTTTTTTTGCTTGTTGGTTGATTTTTTATATAGATAAAAACTAAGGAATTTATAAGTCAGAATGGTGATTATGTTTAGTAGATTCATGATAAATAACCAGGACTGTAGAAATGATAGAAGGAAAAGGCTGACGTGTATATGCTGGTGGAAACTTTGCCAATGAATACTTGGTGATGTTTGCACAGTATAATTGATGTGATTAGCCGTATTGAATTGTACATGTGAAAAATGTTGAAATGGCCAGTGTGTTTCATATATGTTTATAATAATGAAGCAGAATAATGTAAAAGAAAAAAATATGAATGTTTATTTATAAAATGACTTAACTATGTAATTTAATTCTGATTTTTTTTTTTTTTTCCCTCTGCAGTTTAATTTACCAGCTGGATATGTGGGACTGGTGTTCCTGGGTCTGGCACTATGTTATGCTATTTCTTCACCACTGTTAGGTCTACTAAGTGATAAAATGCCAGTATGTGCACTTCATTCATAGCTAAGAATTGCTTTTGATTGTTTATACCAGTAGCTTTCTAACTGTACTTGCAAAATGCTCTGGGCCCATTGCTTAGAACTGACATAGTATTTGAGTGACAAGAGGTTCTGGTGTCTTCCAACCTGCATCACTCTGAGCAGATTCAGTTGTAACATTTGGGAGCAGCTTCATTTGGGAGAAGAGGAGTCTTATGATAAAGAATGTTGAAGAACTATCGGGGTTGACTTATTTTTTTTTAAGGAAAAGTACTTTTGATGTAGACTTTGCAGGGGTAAAAATAACGTTAATCTTAAAGTTAGGATAGAGACCCAGATGTAATTAAGGACATTTACAAATAAAAGGCTCAAATGATCAATTCTGCTTTTGAAGATTTTGTGCCCTCAATTTAGTTCTGACCCATAGCAACCCAGTATAAGGTTTCCAGGGCTGTAAATCTTTACGAAAGCAGAAAGTGTCATCTTTCTTCTGCTGAGCAACTGGTGGATTTGAACCACTGAATATGTGGTTGGCAGCCCAATGTTTAACCCATTTAGACTTTTTTGAGGGAGTCAGAGGATTGGCCGTGTAAATGTGCATTGATAATCCCATAAAACCCATTGTCATCAACACAATTCAGACTCATAGCCACCCTCTAGGACAGAGTAGAACTGCCCCATAAGGTTTCCAGGCTGCAATCTGCTTCATCTTTCTTCTGTGGAGTTTCAATCTAAAGGTTGGTGGTTTGAAACCACCAACCTTTAGATTATCAGCTGAGCACTTAACCACTGTGCCGTCAGAGCTCCTTTGATGATTCTTTGTTGTTGTTGTTGTTGTTGAGTGCTGTTGATTGAGTTCCAACCTGTAAAGACCCTGTATAGGGTTTCCGAGGAACAACTGGTGAGCTTAAATCACCAACCTTGCAATTCAAAACAACTTTGCAGTCCAGCGCATTAACCTACAGCGCCACACCAGACTCCACCCTATAGCCAACTTCCTTACCCATGCTGATTGAAAATCCCATCTGTTTTCCTTTGGGCCTAAATCTTTAGTTCTGGATGACTAACATAGTAAACTAGTATTGTTAGCCAAACCTCAATATTGTATGGCTTTATTGCTAATTTTTCATTTGATTTTCCTATAAATTTAACAAGACATGAATTTCCTAGAGATTACTTAGTAATTCCAGGTGACCAAAAGTTAATGCCTTAACAGTGTTCAGTACTTGGTTTTAAGACATAGTCTTAAATTACTGAGCAGTTACTATAATTCTGTAATTTTTAACCTGCACTGAAGTAGTTTATTGAGAAATAATTTTATTAATGATGTGATTTATCTAGGCATTGTACCTACTTGAGAGCTATGTTGCTAAATACGGAGTTTGGTATTTAAATTTTGAATAGTTCATCATGTACAAAATCTGCAATAAATACTCCTCCTATCCAATGAATCCTTCTTGGGCTACTTACAACTTGTATAGCAGTGAATACCATCCTACTCTGTCATCGCATTTGAATTTACCATCTACCTATTTTCTCTCGCATGAAAAGTTTATTTGTGCTTTTAGATAGTAAAGCTTGTGTTCTTTAAAGATTTTTAATATTCTTTTGCAATGGAGAATTTTTACTTCTTAAAAATGTCTTTGGACTCTTGTTTCTCTGTACCAGTATCTAAGGAAATGGCTTCTGGTCTTTGGAAACTTAATCACAGCGGGGTGCTACATGCTCTTAGGACCGGTTCCACTCTTGCACATTAAAAGGTAATTTCTTTCCTTCCTCTTATGTTTGAACTAGCACCAAGAAGTATTTTTTAAAAATGGTGTAAGCCTGGTACGACTTAGTGTTTTGAACTTTAGTATTAAATAATTACCTTCACTTAGGACTATATATGAGTCCTGGTGTGGTGTTGTGGGTTAATGTACCGGATTGCAAGGTTGATTTGCTTCACAAGGTTGGTGGTTCAAGCTCACGAGCCACTCCTCAGAAACCCTATATAGGATTGCTATGAGTTGGAACCGACTCGACAACACTTAACAAGAACAATAACAAGGACTATATAGAATTATTTGTGAAACTGACAGTATTTTCCCTTAATAGAAACTAGAAGTGATCCAAACAAACAACAGTGCCGAAAATCTGTATCAAATGAGAAAAATATTTAGTCCATGCTTCAGCTTCATGTTTGTTTGTAGTTTTGTTTTGTTTTTTAACAGTATGGATTACTACCTACCTTGAATTGATCATCCATAGTGTGTGTGTATTTCTTTTTTATGTTTTTTCTTACTTTTCCTCCTGATTCTTAGAGGTAGGGACCAAATCCTTTTTTGTTGTTTTAGTATCATCCTTAGCATGAAGTAGGTGTTAATTGTTGTTATTGTTAAATGCCATCAAGTTGGTTTCCGACTCATAGCAACCCTATGTAGAGTTTCTGAGGAGCAGCATTTAACAATAACAACAATTAACACCTACTTCATGCTAAGGATGATACTAAAACAGCTGCCAACCTTGTGGTTCCCAGTCCAGTGCTGATCCTACAGCACCACACCTGGAGTTAATTAAGTGAATTAAGGCTTGTTTATTATCATGTATTTAGTAAAATAGTATAAGCTCCTTAGACTTTTTCAGGTACCTCTGGGGAAAAACAGGGTATTATGCATGGAAAGAGCAGAAATCTCGAAAGTCATTCAGACTTATTAGCTATTGAAGAAATCATTTACCTTCCTAGAGCCTCAGCTTTCTTATCTCAAAAAAGATTTGACAATAATTCAAGGTGTAGTTTGAAACATCCCAGGGTTGTTAAAGGATCAAATGTTTGCAAAGTCATTTATGTAAAGTAATTCCCTTACTCTTTCCCTTCAACTCAAATCTTAAATAATTTTTCAATAAAATTCATGTCAAAGTCAGCCAATGGAAGGAGCAGCATTAGTATTGGCTTTTGAACCAACCTGAAAGGATTCTGTATGGTGAGGGTTGGGATTTACCCCCAACATATAAGAAGCTAAAAGGTGCTATAACTTGTATAATGGGATCAGATGACTATAAAGAAAATCTAAAGTCTTTTATTATTATTATTATTATTATTACCAAAAATGCATATTCCTGCATTTTGGTAATAGATCTTTTTGGTAAGAGATCAGGAAGAGAACCGGTATCCGTTGACACTGAGTTGACTCCATGGTGACACCATGTGACTCATAATAGAAGAGTGCTCCATAGGATTTTCATGGACTGGTGTTTTTTTAAACTAGATCACCAGACCTTTCTTCAAAGGAACGTTTGGGAAGACTTGAACTTCCAACTTTTGGGCTAGAAACGGAATATGTTAACTGTCTTTAACTGTTGCATCACCCAGGGGATGTATCTGGAAGAGGCTAGTTGAGTTATCAGTGAAACTACTTACCTTCTCTGGGTCCTGCCCTACTTAGCATTAAGCTTTTTTTCTTGCCTCTTAAAATGCTAATTTCTTCTCTTTTTTTGTCTCCACAATTCGTATGCAGTCAGCTCTGGATGCTGGTGCTGGTATTGGTTGTGATCGGCATCTCTACTGGGATGAGTATAATTCCAACTTTCCCGGAGCTACTCAGTTGTGCATAGTAAGTGATTTTCATTGCTTGCAGAGCTGTCTTGTGAATAATAGTGAGCATCACAGGCTTTTTTGAATGTCTCAATTTTGTAGGGATGACATCGTATGAGATGATTTTTCTTGTGAATATGAAACCTTTGGGATTTTATGTGACAGAATTTTATGATTTAAGTAGTAAAAATAATAATACAAGAATATAAATATATATATGTAGCAATATTAGAACCATAATAGATAAAATGGACCATGGAGAGAGGCATGGGTTGATTTACGTCTTCATGTATATATACTTTTTTAAAGCCAAAGTTAGATGGAAAGTCTTCGTTCAGCATTGCCCCTCTCTCCCAGAGGCACTGGTGTGCATTACATGACCAGCCATCTTTTGTTTACTCACGTCAAGAAGAAGAACAGGAACAAAGTAAACTTGAGGAGATAGAGGACCTATGGCTGGGCAGTGTCTAATAAATGTCACAGGAATAAGGCATGGCCCCGTGCATCTCTGTACCTGTAATTACATCTGTGTCTTGTATATGCAGTCAACTTCTTTTTTAGACAATCATGGCATAGGTATCATATGGACAGTCCTTGAAATTGGATGAGATTTTTGTCTTAGAAATGGAGTGTTTCTGCTGCTGGCTTTGCTCAAACCACCCCTGGCTTATCTTCATTTATTAATCAACAGCATTATTTTCTTTCACACAGGTTTCCCTTTTAATAATGGATGCACTCTTTTTTACAGTGAAAATGGATTTGAGGAAGGATTGAGTACTTTGGGACTCGTCTCAGGTCTCTTTGGTGCAATATGGTCAGTTGGGTGAGTGTTCTTGAATTTTACTTCAGCCCGCAAGATAGAAAATCATATCCCCATTTTATAGACAAAAAGTTCAGGTGGTAAAGTTAAAATGAATTTAGAGTTTGAGGGCAGAGCCAGAGTTCTAATCTACACCCTCTGCCTCCAAAATCAGTGATGATGAAGCAGCTTAATATCTAATCACAATAGTTGACTATGCATTCATTATCTTGCAGTCCTGGTGTAGTTATGTAGGATAAGCATGGCCCCGTAGGTCTGTGGTTCAATCTCCCCAGCTGCTCCTCAAAAAACCTATATAGGGTTCCTATGAGATAGCGCTTAACAACAACAAGAAGAATGCATTACCCTAATTATGTGATATATTTAACTTCCTTCAGCAGATTAAAAAACAATTATTCATTCATTCATTTACTTTTCACTCTCTGTTATACCAGAGGAAGTCCTGGTGTGGTTCTGTGGGATAAAGCACTGGACCACAAAGTTGGTTTGAATAACAGGGTCTGCGCTTTAAATTCACCAGCCAGTCCTTGGAAACCCTATACAGGATCTCTATGAGTCAGAACCTACTCAACGGCACCTAACAACAACAACAACATTATTCCAGTGTCCTGGTGTGAAAATGTAGGATAAACAGTGGACTGCTAACCACAATGTCGGTAGTTCAAACCCACTAGCTGCTCCTCAGAAACCTTATACAGGGTCACTCACTAACAGTCAGAACTGATTTGATGGAACTTAACAACAAGCTATACCAGAGGCTTAACTATATGCTGACAGTGACCTTTGGGAAGCGGATCACCAAGCCTCTCTTCTGAGGTGCTTCTGGGTGGGTTCATACGGCCAAAGTTTTGACTTGTAGTTGAGCACATAAGTATTTTTACTAACCAGGGGCTCCATGCTAGAAATGCAGTGTTTCCTTAATAAATATATACTGAATTAAGTTATTTTTAATGTAAATGCTGAATAGAAAAATACTGTCTTTCATATGGAGACAAGTAGAGAGGATAAAAATAAGGATTCCTTTGAATGCATGTTGCCTTTCTTTTTATATAAGGTAGCACTTTTTTCAGAAGCAGTTGGAGTTTTAGAATTGTAAAATTTTTTACTTTTTTATCAACAGGTAGAATTTTTTTCTTTTTCCCAAGCTGTGCTTAGAAATGGATATTTTCTTTAGTACTTATAGTTCTAACTTGGTGAAGACTTATGATCGAGGGATTAAACAGCTTTAAGAAGACTTTCTTTTCTGCACTGTTGACATCCTTTCTTGTTTTCTTTGTCAGTGCTTTTTTAGGACCTACACTGGGTGGATTTCTGTATGAAAAAATTGGTTTTGAATGGGCTGCAGCTATACAAGGTCTGTTGCCTCTGACAAGTGTGAGTAACCAGTCTTATACTTTAATTTTCCTTACATTTTAGAGAAACTTAACTGGCAGAATTTACACTAACCAATACCTTTAATTGTGTTAAAGGGATTAGCAATGGGCTTATATTATCTACTGGAGCACTCAAGAAGAAGGTATGGTCAACTAATATTTGTTTTCCCCACTACTTTGGGAGTAGGAAGAATATATAAACTATTTTGCATCCATTTCTTCAGTCTGTGGAGTCTTATAACTTGGCAGATACTGTTAAGAAAGTATTGGGTGGAGATGTAGGTATTGGGTGTTTTTAAGATAAGAAATATTAAGGTTCTTTTCTTCTTTCCCTCAATATAGACCTATACCTCAAGACATTCTTGGTACAGAGGAGGAACGAACTACCCTCTTGCCTAATGAAATCTAATCGTATGAATCTTGGGTTGGTATAGGGTTTGCAGATGGACCCTTCTGACATTGAGCATCACAGTTGAGTTTTCTTAATTTTACGCACAAACTCCATGGATCCTACACCAGTAAAAGCTGGCCTGCTGAACCAACCATATTCGAAACATTAAGTATGAGAAGAACCAGCAAAATGCTATGTTGTTATGTAGCTAATGTTGTCCTTGAAGATGTTGTTATTGACTCTACTGAGGTCTCCTGCTTCCTGCACTTTTTCCCAAGTGCACTGATTCTGTGAATGTATCATTTTTCTTTTCAAAAAAGAAAAAATTGAATTGATTTTATATGATTAAAATATAAAAATATATATAATTAACTATATAAAATAATCAAACTATATAAAATAATTAATATGAAATCCATTTCTAAAAGGTATATATTTTCTGTTTCTTGAGATTTATTTCCTTGTTCAAAAGGCAAAATTCCTAAATGCCATGCATCAACTCTCTAGCATTCCCTGGCTTACAGCTTTTCTAGAAATTGTATTTGTGTGAAAGTTCTTGGGGTGACATTACTGATGGTGGAATTGAGATAGCAAACTAGCTAGTCACTGCACACCTTCCCTCTACAACAAAGGCCCGAGAAAGCAAGTGAAACAGATACAGAGGCTAATCCTGGAACCCTGGACTTTATAAGAAAAGATAAAGAAGGAGCTCAAACATTGGCTGGAAGAAGAAATAAACTAAAAGAAGTGAAGGAGGAGATATGTGAGTGGAAGAGACTGTCCAACCAGCCCAACGCAGAGCAGTCATTTAGAGACACAGGACAGCAACTTCATGGAATCCCCAGTAATCCAAGACACAATGTTGACAAACCCAGAGTGAAGCAAGGTGAGAAGAACACATGCTAGATTTAAGAGAGGGAAATGCAAGAAATCAGGCTAGAACCTCCAAAACTCAGGTGCCCAAAGAGCAGGAGGGGCACAATAAATAGGGATAGAACCACTCACCAGCTGTGGCTCCTCATAGTTTGAGTCTGGGGACCCACATGGTTGGGAGAGCCTGTGGGGTGACTTTATATTTCTCAGCTGGGGACTGGGAACATCAGGTGATCCCTCCCCTTACATTAAGTGAGGGCAGGAATCAGACAAGAGACTGCACCAGGGAACACATCAGTGACTAGCCCAGAGGCAGACATGCACATCCTTCTGGTGATGTACACCTTTCTGAATTTTAAGCCATTCAGTGTAACCATGTTCTGTTTGAACAACTGCCTCTGTGTCCATGTACAGATTCCTCAGTGACTCTGTATTCCTTCCACCTTTTGATGCTTTCTACATCATTCATTATCTTGTCTATGGTGGTGGTGGTCATGTGCCGTGGAGTCAGTTCAGACTCATAGCGACCCTGTACAGGGTTTCTGAGGCTGTAAATCTTTACAGGAGCAGAAAGCCTCACCTTTCTCCCGCAGAACAACTGGTAGTTTCGAACTGCTGACCTTGCGGTTCGCAGCCCGATTCATAACCACTACGCTACCAGAGCTCCTCTATCTTGCCTATGTTGTTGTTGTTGTTGTTAAGTGCCATTGAGTCGGTTCCGACCCATAGCGACCCTGTAACAGGGTTTCCGAGGGTGTAAATCTTTACGGGAGTAGAAAGCCTTATCTTTCTCCTGCAGAGCGACTGGTAGTTTCGAACCCCTGACCTTAAGGTTCACAGCCCGATTCATAACCACTACGCTACCAGAGCGCCTTGCCTATAGAATCCTCCAATACTGCAACTCAAAGCTTGAATTTTCTTTTCCATTCCCTCAGCTTGAGAAATGCTGAGTGTATTCTTCTTTTCCGGTTTTCTAACTCCAGGTCTTTGCACATTTCATTATAATTGACTTTGTCTTCTTGGGCTGACCTGTAAAATTTTCTGTTCTGCTCTTGCACCGCCACTTCTTCCATAGCTGGAGAGCAAATTTCAGAGACTCTTCTGACATTTACTTTGGTCTTTTCCTTCTTCGCTTTCTTCCTGTATGATGCTCTCGAAGTCATCCCACTACAGTTCTGATCTTCAGTCTTTAGTGTCTAATGCATCAGATCTGTTCGTCAGATCTCTAAATTCACGTATGATGTGTTCAAAGTCGTATTTTGGGTCTCATGGATTTTTTAATTTTTCTTCAGCTTCAGCTGAACTTACATATGAGCAACTGATGGTCTGTTCTGCAGTCTGTCCCTGGCCTTAGTTTGGCTGGTGATATGGAGTTTTTCCACTGTCTCTTTCCACAGATGTAGTCAATTTCATTTCTGTGTATTCCATCTAGTGAGGTCCATGTGGTCTTTCTTGTAGGTGTATGGATATTATCGTATCACAGACAGCGTTGTACTTCAAGACAGATCTTGAAATGTTCTTTTTGATGGTGAATTAGATGCCATTCTTCTTCATTTTGTCATTCCTGGCATAGTAAACCATGTGATGGTCAGATTCAAAATGGCCAATACCAATCCATTTAGGCTCTAGTGCCTAGGAAATTGATGTTTATGCATTCTATTCCATTTTTGACAATTTCCAATTTTCCTGGATTTGTACTTATACATTCCTTGCTTCTATTATTAATGGATGTTTACAGATGTTTCTCTTCATTTTGAGTTGTGCCCCATCAGCAAATGAAGGCCCTGGAGACTTTACTCCATTTGCTTCATCACGGTCAACTCTACTTTGAGGGGGCAGCTCTTCCCCAGTCTCATTTTGAGTGTTTTCCAACTGGAGGGTCTCATCTTTCTGCTACTATATCTGACAATATTCTGATGCTCTTTTCATGTTTCAGTATTCAATAATCTGGTGCTGACAGAGTTCCACTGCTATTTATAAGGTTTTCAGGTGATTAAATATTCAGAAGTAGTGTGTCTCTCTTTCTCCCTAGTCTGTCTTTGTCTGAAAGTTAATGTTGCCCTGTTGTTGTTTTTAAAAAAAGAGTAATAATATGTGCTTCTAAAGTGCAAATTGCCTTTTTACATGTTTATTAGCTAACTGTCTGCAGGCATGAGCCATTTATCACCTTATTTTTTGGGGAAGTAAACATTTCTTACCAGTTCTTAGTCATAGAATGTTGAACTCCTGCAGCTAACAGGTCTTCTGAAAAATCCATGGGAAACAAAAGATTCTTTGACTCTGTCTTTTGTTTCTGTAAGAAAATGAGAATTAAGTCATTTTCATCACCAATCTGACCTTCATTGACATACTTGATACCTGCCCCCCACCTTTCAAAATACTTTAAATGTAAGCCATCAATGGACTTTTGGTGACACCCACTGCAAGATCTTTGGGACTACTTGCCTTATAAACTTCTATGGGAGTATGCTGTTCCTCACCTGTATTAGTGTGGATCGTTTCCCGGCTACTCTTTATCCTTTTGGATCTCATGCTATTAGGACCAGGAAGAATTCAAGCATTGTAAGTGCTGGGGTTTGGGTCCTAGTGCTCAATGGTGATATTTCAGCCTCTTTGTTCTCCACCATTAGTGTCAACAATGTAACCACTGCCTGCTGACGCTTCTCCACACATGTCTGGAAGATCTGCCTGTCCAAGAGCACCACATTTACTGAAGTCTTGGGGTTCATCATTCCTGTAATATTAAATGTCTCTTGTTATTCTACAGTGCTGAGGACCCTCCACAAGCCTGCTGCACTGTCAAATTGGGATCAACAAAAAAAAGGTGATCTAGAAGATAATCACAGTGCATATTTTTTTGTGATATGCTTTGTGCCTACAAACTTCAAGTCCTTTCTGTAAATTCTTGTGTGTTCCCAAGTCCTTACCTTGGGTAACAATGGCTTGTTAGAAAGACTTTCAAAGACCATGTACCCAGTTTTATTGTGCCTTACCACTCTGAACTGTTGTTTTGACCTTTGATTTATTACTTCATCCTTGAGTCCTTTCAGAATTCCTTCTACATCAGTACTCCTATCAAGATGGAATCTTTGTGTAAGACTGCAATCCTCTAACCACAAAGTCTTCCCTTCAAGTTTTTCAAGAGGAAATTCGTGATAAAACAATAAATTGTTGTTGTTGTTATGTGCCGTGGAGTCAGTTCCGACTCATAGCGACCCTGCACAGGGTTTCCGAGGCTGTAAATCTTTACGGGAGCAGAACGCCTCATCTTTCTCCCACGGAGCAGCTGGTGGTTTCAAACTGCTGACCTTGTGGCTCGCAGCCCGATTCGTAACCACTACACTACCAGAGCTCCTAAAACAATAAATAATGGTGGTGAATTATTTATTGCTAGAATCTGCGTTCTAGATAGAAAAACTGCCTTTAGGTCCAGATAGGTTATTTCACCTGTGCTATGAATAACGAAAAAGATTTAAAGCTAATTTTACTGACAATAGAATATTGTATGGAATGCAGGCAGATACTCTTGTACTCTTGTTTGAACATACACTGTTTTGTTCAAATGTAATTACAACAACCAAAGGGAATTTTCAAACTCTTCTACAGGAATGGTATTTCATTGTGCTGTATTATATCAGTGGCCAGAGGCATTGACTTTAGTGATATGGATATTATTTTAAAACATTTCAAAAGACATTTGCCTTTCAAGGTATTGGACCTATAAATATAAAACAAATTCAGTGTTTAGGTTGTTTTTTTTTTTTTTCAGTTTTTATTTTATTGTGAATTGAGAGACAGTTTACATGAAAGAACATTGGTTTTGCATTCATCATTTCATTGCAATGATTACAATCTCCTCTTTACATTATCATTAACAATATTTGTTTCTATTCCCTTTGGTGTTTTTTGAGGGGAGGTGGAGGGAATGTACAAAAAATCCACCACAGAATATATAATCATTTAAACAACCAAAAGGCATATTCTACAAGCCTGCCTCCTGGTTGCCAGGACACAACCTTTGTCTTTCCATGAATCTAGAGTCCTCAGCTGCTCTATCTCTCCATGTCCTCATCTCTGCCTCCATCTCTGGTGTCACTGCTTCTTTGCACAGGGACCCACATTCCTCTCATGCTTTTATCCCTTGA